GTTGTTGAGCTAGGGTCGAAGTGGGGCCATCCCTAGCTATGGTGATGTCCAAACCAGGCAATATAGGAGCTGCCTCTCCCAGTATCTTCTTGAAAAAGGTGGTAAATCATTCTAAATCTGGTCTGGCTCAATTAGTCTAGCATTTTGCTCAGTGTAGATGCATGATACTTTGTTCCTTGCTTGTCTAGCTTTTAGATAGGCATGGAAGTACATGGAGTTTGATTCCCCTTGTGTTATCCATATAGCTCTTGATTTTTTCCTAAGTAATTTTTCCTGTATTGCATCCCATTTCTCAATCAGTGTGAGTGTCAGGTTTTCCTCCTTTATGAGTGCTGGATTGAAATGATCCTCATTTAATGCCCTTTGAACTGCCTCCAACTTCTTCTTCAGGCTCTCTAATTTGCTGTCAATGGAAGGAAATTCTTTGTGGATGTCCCTAGTTTGGATTTCTAGCATCTTCAGCTTCCTGCAGATCTTAAACATAGTGTGGCCCTAAATTTGTTGTGTCCAAACTGTTCTGACTGCTTCTCTATAGTTTTCCTGTTGCAGGAGCACTATCAAGAGTCTGAAAGGTCTATTGACTTTAGAACTGTTCACTACTATATTCAACATGATTGAGGAGTGGTCTGAAACTCCTATAGGCAATTACACAGCTTCAATACCTGCATATGTTTGGAACCAATCAGGATTGCCAAAGGCCCAGTCAATGTGGCCGTATATTCTCTCATCGACATCTATTTTAGTGCTCCAAGAGAATTGACAACCTCGTTTGGTGATTTTGCCCTACACTAATATCCTCAATACATTGTTGGAAGTCTATAATTTTCTGTTGGTCTACTGGGGCTCCATTTATCCTATTCCCCACCGATAGAACACTATTTAAGTCTCCTAGAATAATTCATGGGCCACTTAGCTTCGCATGTATGGCCTTAAGTTGATCCCACAGAGGATTCATATCAGCAGTGGTATGCACTCCATAAATAAAGGTTCCATAGCAGCATAAACTTGTATTTCTATCTTGGATGTAACAGTGGACAAGCTGGCTAGGGGATTGAAGCATTGTAGTTAGGGGTGTTCATGGTTCGATTTGGATCGGTTTTTCCCTAAAAAGAAACCAAACCAAGTAAGTCGATTTTTCAAATATTAGAACCAAACCAAACCAATTAAGTCGGTTTTTTCTTGATTCGGTTTATGTCGGATTTTGTCGGTTTTTCGGAGTTTTTAGTTATTTGTCGGTTTTTTCTTAAATATAAGACATACACTACCAAACACATATTCCGGCGACCACATTTCCAACGTAATACTATCAAATCAATTGCCTTTTGAAAAATCTATTATTTACCAAGATATATTGATGATAATTGAATCAAATAGTGATGAATAATTTAAGGACTCAATTAAAAATATATTATTTTTAACATGAAATGGATTCTTACACTTAACAAAAGAAAACTACCAATCAAACTAGAATGTATAGGTAAAGAACTATAATAAAAGTGCAAACTATTAACATTTACCATAAAAATTTTGAAACTTTGTATAAAAATATACATATATATAGGTGTAATAATAAATTTGTAATAGCTACTCCTATAGTCGGTTTGGTTCGATTTTTTTTCTATTTTTTTCTGATTAAAACCAAAACCAAACCAAATTTGATTGGTTTCTAAAATTCAAAACCAAAACCAAACCAAACCAAAAAGTATCCGGTTTTTTGGTCGGTTTGGTTTGGTTTTCGGGTTGTTTCGGTTTTTCGAATTTTTATGAACACCCATAATTGTAGTTGTAATATTTACTAACTTCTAACCTATCCAGATTCTGCCATTTGGCGCTGAGGAATAGTTATCTACAAATTTCAATCCTGCTCCAAACTTCTTTTGTATCAATGCAGCCTTCGACTTTTTCACTCTGGTTTCAAAGCATCCTACCATATCTACCTTATTGTTAAACAAAAATAATTTGAACTCTTTTTGTTTGTAGGGCTTATTCAGCCCCCTTATGTTCCAAGTGTTGAAGATCATGGTGGATGTGTCTTGTTTTCCTTGAATCCTTTATCAGCTAATTGATAATCCCTTATGCGAGATTGGTCTTGCTCAGGTTGTACTCTCTCAAGTATCTGTAATGGAGCAAATTGGTTCCTCCTGGTAATATCCTGTATGTCAATGTGATGACCACCTTTTTTCTTTGAACCATGATGAACCACAACTTGTTTCCCTCTGTTTGATAGCTGCATCTGTATCTGAACATCCTGTGTTTCTTCTGATGGTTTCTCAACTGAAGGTGTCTTAGGGGGTTTAGTTTTCAAGGATAGCTGTATCAATTGGCTCTACAACCTTATTCTTCCATTCCCATTTCTTCTTTTTCTTTTTCTTGTTCTGCTTCTTTTTTGGTTGCACCTGTTGTGGTTGCTTTCTTTGACAATTCTCATTCGTGTGGCCAAATTGGTTGTATTCTTGATAGATATAGGCTTCCACTCATATTCTACATCTTGATTTCAAATATTACCATCCGCCTTAATGGTAGGGAGAACATCAGGGAGTGGTTGAGTGACATCGACCTCTATGAGTACTCTAGCATAAGAAGACTCTATCACAGTAAGTTGTGAGCTTATCAGTGCACAAAGGTTTTCCAATGTATCTCACTAGCCTCCCTAGATTTTCCTCAGCCCAGAATTGTATTAGTAAACCTGGGAACATCACCCATATAGGGAAAATAGTCATAGATTTGTTTCTTATGTTGAAATCTGGAGTCCAATCTTTCAATACCATGGGTCTGTTATTGAATGTAGAGGGCCATTTTGGATAATCATGTTCTTATCCTCTATAGATTCAAATCTAAAGATAAAATAACCATCGTCATATAACAGTATATTCGGTGTAGCTAGTGAATTCCATACTCCATAGACAAACCCGAGCATCGCTTTAAATGGTGGATTACCCCCAAATCCGTAGCCAATTAGAGCATTTTTCCATTTCTGACATTGGCGCTCCACTTCATTATGGTTCAATTCAACCAGCTTCACTCCATCCTTGATCATCGGTGGGTAGAACTTCAATTGCATTCCTTGTTCCTTCATTCGATTACCCTTGACCATCTCAATCATAGACTTAGCTGGTAATCCTGCTGAGTAGGTCAATTTGCGCACTGCAGTTGTCGTTCCTAACTCCGGTGGGATTGAGGCTTCTGGGAGAATTGTATGATTCCCCCCACCGGTAGGTTAGAATCATTCATCGTTGCCGTTTGCATGACTCTAGGTGCACTTCTCATCCTCGAAAACCAGGTGATAAGTTGTCGAGGACCTAATTGTTGTTCAATTCTAGATTCTGGTATTACCAATCGAGTAGTCGTTCCCTAAATTTTTTTGTAGAGCTTTGCGTCATCGAAGCTTGTCGTTGATGGATGTTCATGGCTGTTGGTGTATGTTAGCACTCCTGCTTAACGTGTGCCTTCAAAGAGCCAAAACCCCATCAATCACATCCATTTCCAGTCGGTCCAGGCCTTTACCCCTTTATTGGCTTTTTTAACGTGTTAATCTGTTTCATTTTTTTAATATTATTTGTAATTCTTTCAAGTTAAATGATAAATGTAAATGCTGTAAATATAAAAACTAAAAGTCTCTACAAGAACAAGCCAAAACAAAAATTTTATTACTCCTTTTGTCCAAATTCGTGTGATCCATTTTCCTTTTTAGTTTGTCCCAAAGAAAATTATATTTTTTGTATTTTTCAAATACTTTTTTTTAATCTTTTACCCTTATTAAATGATTTGTTGCTTTATAAATATATATAACTTGTTGTAGGCCACACATTTCAGAGTTTTTTTTCTCCTTCTTATACTCTATCTATCGTCAAACAACAACAACAACAACAACAAATCCAATGAAATCTCACGATTGGGGTCTGGAGAGGATAGTGTGTACGCACACCTTACCCTTACCTTATGAGAGTAGAGAGGCCATCAAGTTTGTGCTTTGATATTTTAAACTTACAGAACAAATTAGGGAAATAGGAATTGAAAAATCAAAATATCAAATTACAACATTAAAGTATTACCAATAAAAATCGTTCTATTATAAATACTTATGAGTCATTAAGCATCACTTATTAACCAATTTATGATAGCATGAAGAAGAACAAATTTCAAAGCACCATAATAGATGATAACAAAAAAGATTCAGATTAGCAATTCCACTAGATTTCACCTGCTCCTTTACTTTTTTTTTTTTTTTTGGTTGCTTCACATTTTTAGTCAAAATGGTCAGCCAAGGGTTATAAATTATTGATTTTTCTTGTATTTTAAAGTGAAATAGTCGCCCTTGCTTCTCATGTTTGTTTTCGCAGTTTCAAACACATTTTTGCACCTAATCCAAAATCAACTATAACTAAAGTCAACTGACCAAGAAGGCAAGAACTCAACCTTTATTTCCCACTAACTAAAGCATTGACTTTTGCCACCTCACTCTTTAGTCTTTACCAAAAACAAATATTAAGAAGCAAGAGAATAATCCTGCTGTTATCCAGGATAAAATGTTAATTACACTAGATTATCATTTGACCAAAGTGTAACAGAAAAGGATCATAAGTAGGCTAGAAATTAGAAGCCAAATAACTTGAGGGTAAAAAATGTTGCCAATTTCTAGCCATTGTATCATCTTCTTTCTGAGTCTAAGTTCTATACACTAACAATACAAAAAATATTTACACAATCAGGTCATTTATAGGTAATTAAAAGATAAACTAATAATATGGAAACATCTGTCCATTGTTTTAACTCCTGTCTTGAGAGAATATTCTTTAAAGACGTACTCCCTCCGTTTTCATTTTATGTGAGTATTACGGAGAAAGTTGAGCAGGTAAAGAGTTTGGAAATCTTAGTGCATATCTTAGTTAATTCAAGGATGATCATATAATTTGACCAGATAATTTAGATGTCAGCAAAACCTAAAGCACTTAGTATCCATATTATAAATTGATGATCAATCTAAAGCACTTATTACAAGCTAAAACATACAAATCATATATACAGAAAATTTCAGTGAATATATAAACTTGAGCTGGCTATATCGAAAAGGAATGATGAAGGCGGTATCAATTGAATCTGGAGAAGCATCCAAGGCTATAGGGCATCATGGAGTGAACAGAGGATTATCTATATTTGATCTAATTTTACGTATTGTTGCAATTGTTGGAACATTGGCAGGTGCTGTGGCAATGGGAACTGCTGAGCAAACTCTTCCTTTTGTCACACAGCTTGTGCAATTTTCGGCTCAATATGATGACTTTGAGACATTTAAGTAAGTCCATCTTTGTATATTATGTGAGATATTACAGTGCATTTTTTGATGTAAATGTATAGACAAGGTTAACTTTTTTTTTGTTTTTTTTTGTTTGTAAAACTAAGGTTGTCCGTGATTGTGAATGCAATAGTGTGTGCGTATCTTGCTCTTTCTCTCCCATTTTCCATCTTTCACATTATGAGGAGCAGAGCAGGAAAAAGTCGGATTTTGCTCATCTTCCTAGACGCGGTAATAGATTCACTTGTACTTTATCTTATTTTACTACTCTTTCCGTCTATATTATCTGTCATGATTCTCTTGTATACATCCCTTAAGAAAAATTAATTAGGATGAGATTTTGACTACTTTACCCTTATTCATGTCTTAATATTTTCTTCATTGGTATTTGAACAAAGTTATTCATAATTGAGGTGTTTGTAGTCTTCGAGGATAATTATTGCTAAGGGTAAAAAAGGAAACAAATAATCAATTTTGTCTTGAACTTCTAAAGTGACAAATAATTTCAGACAACTATTTTGGTAACCACGACTGATAATATGAGATACTTTGTTGGGTTTTTTGCTCAAAATAGTGTGAATCCGAAATGAAGGAAAAAATGAAATCTTTCAATTTCCTTCCTTTACAAAGGAACACTGTCTCATATTGGAGGAGAAAACTCATTTCTTGGGTAAATGCACTTCTTCTAGCTCTTAAAGAGTGAGAAGAAGTCAAGCCTCGCGCCGTCCTCGTCACTCAGCTTCGATTTCGGCTTTGAATTTGGTCAAATGATTTTATTGATTAATTTTTGTACCACATTACTTGTTAAAATATTAAGACTATATTAATATTTTAAATCCAAATCGACCGTTTGTGTAACGGTAATTTAATTTTTCCTCCCGTTTTATTTTCCCTTTAAATTTTGAAATTGGCGGTTTGCGTAAATATCTCTTTTGAGTTACAATCTTAAACGAAAAGTTGCAACTCATCGGTTTAAACCCAACCTATTGGCTATAAATACTAGGCCATTCCCTTAGAGTTTCCTTACGAAAGTTCTGAAATCTCTTCTTCCTTTCTGCATTGTTTTTCTTACAAAAACAAAGTAAGTGTGGTTCATTACCGCCATTTGTGTTCGCTGTACACCGGTGTTTGAAGTACCGCGATGTACCAATGTGGTTTATTTGTTCAATCTGGGAGGAAATAATCCTAAATCTCGCATAATAGGAGGTGTTAAGTTCCTTAAGAATATACTGTGAATTCAGTGGACTCGAATATAATTCTGCTTTTTCATTATTTCTGTTTTTCTTTATTAAAGTTTCCAAAATTTATTTTACGAATAATAGATTTAACTTATATATACAGACAATTGCAAATTTTTACATTACAGTAGGTTGCTTTATTTATTAAGTAGCTCCACTTATTAGGGACAAATGATCTTTTAGATGGACTAGTAATGTAAAAATCCGTTTACAAAAGTGTACACGATTTTCCCCATGAATTGCTAAAGCTATTGAGTAATACTGATATCCATTATATACCTGACATTTGAACCTTTTGAAGATAATGTTGGTTCTTCTCACATCTGGAGCTTCTGCAGCAGCCGCCATTGTGTATTTAGCACATAATGGGAATTCTTCTGCAAACTGGTTTTCAATTTGCCAACAGTATACAGATTTCTGCCAGCGTTCTGCTGGTTCTCTCATTGGCTCCTTTGGCGCGATGGTGTGTCTTGTTCTCCTTATCATTTTGTCAGCTGTCGCGATATCCAGGCGCTAAATGTTACCACTGGCTAGCTAGTCTAATTAGTATTTCTATGTCTGTTGTGTTTGGGGTGACCAAAATTTCATGACCTGGATTTTGTATGCTTCACTACCTGTAATTTATATCAAAATCGTCAGTTCTACACTCTTTAAGTATGGTTTGATCACAAATGAACATATTTCTGTTTTCTACCATGTTTTATGCTTCTTCAAGAGATCCATTTTGTATGCATTTCACTACATGTAATTTATGATTCATACACCTTTTTTAGAGTTCGGATATTGTCATTCAGCTAAAAACAAACAATATAAATACTCACCAGGCTTAGTTCCAGCCTATGTTGTTCGGAGTCTCCGAAAATGTCGATGGTGATGTAGGATTCTCCAAAAGTAGTGCATTTTTTGAGAATCCGACATGAATACGGCAGCTGTTTTGGAGAGTCTAGCAACATAGATTTCAGCCATGAAATTTCTAAATTAGTAAAGTTAAATGGAAGAATAGCTCAGTGGTGGCACCAGAAAGTTAGATGAGAAGAAAAATTGCAAACTTCCTAGTATCTCTAATAGCAGTAACACATGTATAATAAAATCTATTAGTGAGCTATTTGTTTTTGATAGAAATTAGGAGTTCCCCAAATAATATAGAGAACCAGGTTCTCTATTTTTTTCCACAATAAATTGATCAATAGTAAAAAACACACAATATTTACGTGAAAAACTCCCTGTTCACGGGATTAAAAACCACGACCTATCCTAGTAGGATTTCAACTTCACTAACTGAGCAAACTTCAGATTATAATCTATTGCAATTTAGGAATTAAACTCTTAATCCTTCGCCTCTTACAATAGCTCTATTGTAAGCTCTTTGTAATAGCTATATTACAAAGCCACTCTCTTGACTAACTCTAGTCAAACAACCGAAGTTGTCACGCCCCAAACCTAGGGAGGCGTGGCTAGCACCGTGCCGTACTGGCCCGAGAAAACCACTCTGTAACTCATTTTTTTCTTCAAACTATCATGGGCCAACATGACCACAACTCATAATGTATAACTATAAGTGGGCAAGCATTGTATCAATGAACCGTCGTTCTTAATTAAAACATGAATACATATGGGCCGTCAAGGAATCTGACATACTGTACAAAATGAACCTTGTCTACAAAGCCTTTTAGATTTTTTGACATCAAATGGGACAGGGTACAGGCCCACCCATACCTTAATGAATACTTGGGCTTCAATGATGAGGATGAAACTTTGTACATGGCGAAGTTGGAGATGGGCGAGGAGGTCCGTCCATGGTTAGCTCAGTACCTGGCAATCCCAGGTACCGTTCTTGATTGGTTGACTGCTGGGGTCAAAATATTGCGGAGGACCTTAAACATTGAGGCAAGGGGTTGGGAGACGTTTGTTTGCAGCCGGTTGGATCCTACTACACATGACCAGACCCTTCCTCTCCACCGGGCTGTATTGGTTGCTTCGATTATGGCGGGATACCCCATAAATATGGGAAATGTGATGTCCCGCATTATCTCAATAGTAGGAGTAGAGCATGACCGGAACTACCCTTTCCCTAGCACCGTCACTATGTACTTTCGGGACTTGAAGGTGGACAAGAGGCCATATGACATCAAGGTAAAGGCGACAGCCACGTTCTGCTGGTTTAGCTTGAAGGGGAATGACAAAGCCCCTGCTTCTGCCCCAACTGGCCAGTCTGAAGAGCCAGTTGTGGTATAGGTCCCTGCTGAGCCTACCTCCACTTCTGCTGACATGCCTCCCGGACCTTCCACATCTTTAGCCATTCCTCTTGGCCCTTCCACATCAGCAGGCCTGGAGATCCCATCTACCCGGGCCCATCCCATCACTGCCCACTGGCTGAGCTAGGCCCTGCTGAGTATAAACAACTGGATGCCGACCACCTTATCCAAGTTGTCCACATTGACTACTACTGTAGCGGCTCAGTCGGCACCTCAGCCAGCACAGGTCCCACAGTCGATAGAGGATGCTTTGAAGGAGATACTTGAGAACCA